GAGAACCGACAAGTTGATAAATTACACATGTGCAACACTTGGGTATCTTTACTGAGGAAACGTTTCGCCACATAGTGGCTTCATCAGTCCATAAAAAGGAGAACACTGAAGAACAGGAGTAGTTTGAGGTAATCAGTCTTGTTACAAATTTTGCACTTTCTCTGGTTTCTTGACGTGTTTGACTAGGTGTGGGTTCCAAACTGGTGCTACATACTCTAGTATGGGCTTGACGTACACAGTGTACAGTGTCGTGAATGACTCCTTACTTAGATGTTGAAACGCTATTATCAGGTTTGCCAGGCGCTCAAGTGCTGCAGCAGTTATTTGACTGATGTGTGCCTCAGGGGACATGCTCGGTATAATGCTTTACCCGCAACATCCTTTTCTTTAAGTGAGGTTTGCATCCTTTGCTCCCCTAACCTGTACTCCGTCTGCGGTCTTTTTTGTCCTTCCCCAGTCTTCATGACTTTGCACTTGGTGAGGTTAAATTCTGGGAGCCATTTGTCGAACCAGACTTGTAGCCTATGCAGATCCCCTTTGTAATCTTTCCTGGTCCTCACCCGTTTGTATTCTCATCAGCTTCACATCAGCGAACAGCGATAATTCTGAAGCTATTCCTTCCATTGTGTCATTCACGTATACAAGAAACAGTACTGGCTCTAGGACTGACCCTTGTGGAACCCCGTTCGACACATGCGCCCACTCTGACACTTCATCACGTCCACCTGTCCATACTCTTACGAACGTACCAACGCTTGTTGTTTACTTTGTCAGGTGTTGCCTGATCCATTGCAGTACTTTCCCTACTATTCCTGTCTGCTTCTCCAATTTTGAACCAGTCTCCTGTGTGGAACTGTCAAAAGCATTCTTGCAGTCTGAAAAGATGCAACTTACCCATCCCCTTCTCTCTCCTGTCTTACTTTTGTTAACTTATTGTAGAGCTCGAGTAGATTTGTGACACAGGATTTCCCATCCCTGAAGCCGTGCTGATTGTCATGTATGATCCCAATCCTTTCAATGTGTTCCACCACTCTTCTGATAATTTTTTCCGTAACTTAACATCTATACATGTCAGTAACACTGGTCTCCCGTTTTAACGCGGCCTGTCTGTCTCCATTCTGGTTGGTAGGTAAGACACATAGGCAACAGTTAGGCAACTTTATTCCAAAACGTTTCGCCTACACAGTAGGCTTCTTCAGTCGAGTACAGAAAGTAGGCAGGAGCAGTAGAGATGTGAAGACGATGTAATCAGTCCATCACCCTTTACAAGTCTCCACAATGTCGCTTGATCTTCAAATTGTTTCAGACTGTGGAACAGAACTGTTTTCCAGGCTGAGGGACTGACAACCTAAAATCTACGACTTAAAGGGCGATGGACCGATTACATCGTCTTCATATCTCTTCTGCTCCTGCCTCCTTTCTGTACTCGACTGAAGAAGCCTACTGTGTAGGCAAAACGTTTTGGAATAAAGTTGCCTAACTGTTGCCTACGTGTCTTACCTACCAAGCTGTCGGTATTGTATACCATTTTGATATTCACTCTTTCCATTCTTAAAAATTGCAACTACATTTGTGTCTTCCACGCCTCAAGCATTTGCCCTGTTTTGATAGCTATTGAAGATTGCTGCTAGCGGCACAGTTCCTCTGCTCCCTCTCTCAGGACCCATGGAGATATGTTATCCGGGCCCACTGCCTTCGAGATTTCTAGTTCACTTAGCAGTTTCTTCACCTCCTCCTTGGTTATGTGTATTGTGTCCAGCACTTGCTGATGCATGTTACCTCCTTGATTTGCTGGAAGCATTTCTGTCTGTACTGTGAATACTTTTCTAAATCTTGTGTTAAGTTCTTCACATACTTCCTGGTCACTCTTTGTCAGCTCTTCTCCTCCTTTCCTCAGCCTGATTACCTGGTCCTTGAATGTTGTTTTCCTCCTAATGTGTCTGTATAACAACTTTGGCTCAGATTTGGCTTTTAATGCTATGTCGTTCTCGTATTGTCTCTGGGCCTCTCTCCTTATCCCTGCATATTCGTTTCTGGTTCTGCTCAGCTTGTTTTCTTGAGACCTTTGCCTTCTGTACTTTTCCATGCTAGATCTAGCATATTTGGCTTTGGCCTCTTCACACCTCCAGTTAAACCATGGCTCACTCTGGTCTTACCATTTTTTTCTGTCTCCCTTTACCATTAGCATTTCGTCCTAGGCACATGTCGATTAGACACTAGGCCTGTTGTATGTGCGTGCATGTACGTATGTTCTACTTCCTGGCAACTCTATAGCTGAAGAAATACTCGATCGCTAGCATACTCAGCTCACACACTAAAGTCCCAAGTTCGAATCCCCGGTATAGCTGGAAAACATACCTGCTGTCCATGTTAACCCATCAGCGCAAAATGGGTACCTGGGTGTTAGTCGACTGGTGTGTGTCGCACCCTGGGACAAAATTGATCTAATTTGCCTGAAATGCTCTGCATAACAAGTGGCTTTCTATATAGTAGTGAATCATTGATGTCAGCTAGGCCTATATACCTTGTACATGTTCACGCAGAAATCAAGATATATTATCATTATTATGACATTCCTATGATTCATCCGAGTGTTCAACTTCCAGTTGTGTCCACTTGTTCCTGTATCCCATCTCCGAATCACTCTGGCTATGTCTACCTTGTCAATTCCTCTCAGTCCTTTATACGTTGCTATCATGTCCCCTCTATCCCTCCTGTCCTCGGGTTCAGCTCCTTTAACCTCTCCTCATAAGCTCCTGGACTGTGTATGCTCACACACAAGTGTATGAATAAACAGAGGACAGGATGTGGATTAAACAGAGGTCCGTGCGTGTGGCAGGCCCTGGACTGTGATGAGCCATGATAGTTACAATAGGATGATTATACAACCAGCATTTCTGTGACATCATTATTATACCAACCACCACAGTCATTGATGCTGTTCTCTCATCCCACACACTCAGCTTTCTTTATACATCTTGCCTCATATACCCTCTCAGTCAGTCCGTCAACCCATGATAAATCGTAATTAAAAGTTGGTTATAAAACTATGCCTGCTAGTCTCCCGAGTTTCAACACAGTCGCTCGCTGGCCAACAGCAAAATATTTGCCAAGGTGGTGTGGTAGAGGAAGCATAGGCACCAGGCCTATGCTAACTCTCTTATAGTGTATAAATATACTTAGTTGGATGAATCTTATTGTAACCAGCTGGCCCAGTGGATAACGAGTCGGTCTGGAGTTTTATCCACAGTTTACCTGGAGTTTACCTGGAGAGAGTTCCGGGGTCAACGCCCCCGCGGCCCGGTCTGTGACCAGGCCTCCTGGTGGATCAGAGCCTGATCAACCAGGCTGTTGCTGCTGGCTGCACGCAAACCAACATACGAGCCACAGCCCGGCTGGTCAGGAACCGACTTTAGGTGCTTGTCCAGTGCCAGCTTGAAGACTGCCAGGGGTCTGTTGGTAATCCCCCTTATGTATGCTGGGAGGCAGTTGAACAGTCTCGGGCCCCTGACACTTATTGTATGGTCTCTTAACGTGCTAGTGACACCCCTGCTTTTCATTGGGGGGATGTTGCATCGTCTGCCAAGTCTTTTGCTTTCGTAGTGAGTGATTTTCGTGTGCAAGTTCGGTACTAGTCCCTCTAGGATTTTCCAGGTGTATATAATCATGTATCTCTCCCTCCTGCGTTCCAGGGAGTACAGGTTCAGGAACCTCAAGCGCTCCCAGTAATTGAGGTGTTTTATCTCCGTTATGCGCGCCATGAAAGTTCTCTGTACATTTTCTAGGTCAGTGGTATATTACCAACCATCCTTGAAAAATACCCTGACTTCCATCACTGTAAATAATGTGTAATAACTAAACTTTTTTTTTACAGACAAACCTTGCTAAAATGTAAGGTAATGTTTGTATTTTTTTGTTGTTGCGAGTGAAACTAAATATGTAATGCAGAGGTACTCCCTGGACCTATTATGTGCCTCTGTAATGCAGAGGTACTCCCTGGACCTATTATGTGCCTCTGTAATGCTGAGGTACACTCCCTGGACCCATTATTTTGCCTTTAGGTTTACGCCCTTTCTTTTGATTATAATGTGCTTATAATGCTGAGGTACAGTCCCTGGACCCATTATGTGTCTCTAATATTGAGGTACAGTCCCTGGACCCATTATGTGTCTCTAATATTGAGGTACAGTCCCTGGACCCATTATTTGTCTAATATTGAGGTACAGTCCCTGGACCCATTATTTGTCTAATATTGAGGTACAGTCCCTGGACCCATTATGTGTCTCTAATATTGAGGTACAGTCCCTGGACCCATTATTTGTCTAATATTGAGGTACAGTCCCTGGACCCATTATGTGTCTCTAATATTGAGGTACAGTCCCTGGACCCATTATTTGTCTAATATTGAGGTACAGTCCCTGGACCCATTATTTCTCTAATATTGAGGTACAGTCCCTGGACCCATTATTTCTCTAATATTGAGGTACAGTCCCTGGACCCATTATTTGTCTAATATTGAGGTACAGTCCCTGGACCCATTATTTGTCTAATATTGAGGTACAGTCCCTGGACCCATTATGTGTCTCTAATATTGAGGTACAGTCCCTGGACCCATTATGTGTCTCTAATATTGAGGTACAGTCCCTGGACCCATTATTTGTCTAATATTGAGGTACAGTCCCTGGACCCATTATGTGTCTCTAGTATTGAGGTACAGTCCCTGGACCCATTATATGCCGCTAATCTGAGATAGTCCCTGGACCCATTAAGTAACCCCTCCCACAGGATGGGTATGTAATGCATAAAAATATCAAAGAAAGAAGCCAGGAGGTACAGGATCTAGTTAACATTTTACCAGACCTCCACAGCCACCATTATATACACACTAACAATACACTGAGCTATCATCCAGTTAGTACAATACCCTGGCTCTAGCGTACGAGTTAATAAAGGCAATAATAACCCAGGTGTAGCGAGTAAATACTAAATAAGAGAAGGATGAAGTGGGCGAGGCTCAGTGTGTGTGTGAGTGTGATGGTGGACGTTACGCTCACTCTGTTCTCCTCTTCTTCACCATATTTCCCACTTTATTGTTGTTTACCACCTACCACTGACTACGGGGATTAGTGCAGTGGTTACCGGCCTTAACTACAACAACCTCTGGTGCTACTTGTGAAGCCTTATTAATATATTACGTGAGTAACACTTGTTACTAAGGTGCCTCTCACCCCCCCCCCGTAATATTACCACTACTGACAACACTAGTGTGATATTACCACTACTGACAACACTAGTGTGTGATATTACCACCACTGACAACACTAGTGTGTGATATTACCACCACTGACAACACTAGTGTGTGATATTACCACTACTGACAATAGTGTGTGATATTACCACTACTGACAACACTAGTGTGTGATATTACCACTACTGACAACACTAGTGTGTGATATTACCACTACACTGACAAATATTAGTGTGTGATATTACCACTACTGACAACACTAGTGTGTGATATTACCACTACTGACAACACTAGTGTGTGATATTACCACTACTGACAACACTAGTGTGTGACATTACCACCATTGACAATATTATTACCACCACTGACAATATTATATTATTACCACCACTGACAATATTATTACCACCACTGACAATATTATATTATTACCACCACTGACAATATTGTTACCACCACTGACAATATTATTACCACCACTGACAATATTATATTATTACCACCACTGACAATATTGTTACCACCACTGACAATATTATTACCACCACTGACAATATTATTACCACCACTGACAATATTATTACCACCACTGACAATATTATTACCACCACTGACAATATTATTACCACCACTGACAATATTATTACCACCACTGACAATATTATTACCACCACTGACAATATTATTACCACCACTGACAGTATTATTACCACCACTGACTGTTGCATATGTCTTACCTAACAACCTGTTGGTATTTTATACCTTTTTAATAATCACTCTGTCAGACACTGCAACACAATGGTATCTTGGTACAGAACAGAAAACACCTTGGACAACTTCTAGTGAGAATGGTTGGATTTGAGAGGGACATGACCTCTCAGTGATTAGTCTTGCTTCTGTTAGTGGCCTACATCTCGCCTTCTGACAGTATATAAGGCGCCATACTATTACTTCGACTTCACATTGTCTCAGACTATGGAACAAATACTCTTCTCCAGGCTGAGGGACTGACCACCTCAGAACTAGATCTTCAAGAGTGTTGGACTGATTGCATCGTCTTCACATCTCTTCTGCTTCTACCAACTTTCTGTTCAACTGAAGAATCCTGCTGTGTAGGCGAAACATTTCAAAACAAAGATGCTTAACTGTTCCATATGTGTCTTATCTAATAAAACTAGGGATGCCAAGCCAATGATGATTCCTTTCAAATGGCGAATGTACAGAGAACTTTCACTTCATGTATAAGTACAATAAAGTGCCTAAATTACCGGGAACAGTTGGAGTCCCTTTACCTGTACTCCCTGGAATGCAGGTGAAAAAATGCATGACAGTACATGTACACTTGAAAAATTCTTGAGATTAGTCCCAAATCTGCACATGGAAATCACTCGTTAGAAAAGCAAAAGACTCGGCAGGTGGTGTAACATCTCCCAGTGAAAAGCAGGGGCACATTGAGTACAATAAGAGACTACACAATAAGTGTCAGGGGCCCCAAGACTGTTGAACTGCCTAGCAGTATATATAAGGGGGATTACCAATAAACCCCTGGCTGTCTTCAAGAGGGAGCTGGACAAATATCTAAAGTCAGTACTTGACTAGCCAGGCTATGGTTAGTACATCAGTTTGTGTGTGGCCAGCGGTAACAGCTTGCTTGCTCAGGTCCTGATCCACTGCAAGGCCTGGTCATGGACTGGGCTGCAGGGGGTGTTGACCCCTAAAACACCCTCCAGATATTATTTAATTCCTGTATCTCAAGAAATTACCTTAATATCAGTAAAGTTCAAAGTCCCTAATTTTCATGCTGTAGGTTACATGGACATCAGAGATTACCTGCATAGATTAGACTGGGGTAACCTGATGGGATTATAATTATGGGAGCCAAACGGACAATGGTGTATAGTAGTATTTTCAAATTAAATATAAATAACCATAAATTGAGGAACAATAGATTGAAGCATCTCTTGGGTGAAAAGATAGGCATTTATAGGCAAATTAAAAGAGGAGAGGGTTACTTTATTGACTACTATATTTAGTTAAAGTGAGAACTCAAAAAAGAAACAAGGAAAGCCATTAGAGAATATGCAATGAAATTAGGTTTGTGGGGAAGTCAAAGACCACCCTAAAGGGCACCTTTCAAATATATAGGAATAGGGAAAAGATAGGTCAACCTAAACCTTACTCAGGTCAGCTTATTGTTAGTGAAAAAGAAATGTGTACTATTTTTTAACATTTGTATATTTCCTATGTTTTTACACAAGGAGCCCCTCAAGGAAGGTTCTGATGCTGGTGAAGGGTTCTTGATCTAGGGAATTGGATCTCTTCTCCAGTTCCCTGAATTAAACCTGAATAACTTCCACATCTTCCCTTGGGCACTGTATAATCCTATGGGTTTAATGCTTCCCCCTTGTTAATAATAATAATAATTTACACAAGGGGATACAAATGAAATTCCTCCTAAGTGAATATGTAAAATATTTACCTGTATTAATTAGCTTGACTTTAATCAGGAAGGGCAGTATTACCTGGTAGACGACTTACTCAACTCATCAATTGTTAAACAAATGAGTGCGTGGAGTATATAGCATTAACTGTTGCAGCATCCGTTATCAGTATTCGTCACGCTGTGTCATTGAACTTGTGTAATGTGATAAGGTCCATCAGAGATAATAGGTACAATCTCAGTTACTTACTTGGTTCTAAAGAGTGAACACGTACACTTACCCCATATATAGTAGCTTCTGGACACTTAATTTCCAGCAATGATGCGGTAGGTTTGTATTGATTTTTTTTTTCACTGGGTTTAATGGTGCAAAAGGGAGAGCAGAAATTTGTGGCAATGCTATATCACTACAATCATGGGATCTGCGTTTAGTTGTGAGACAAAAGACTTAGGGAATGTTTCCTTGCACTTGTTGCCCCCCTTCACCTAGCAGATACGTACCTGGGTGTACACTGACTGTTGTGCGTTACACCCTGGGGTAGAGGACCAAAGCATCTTTATGTAAATAAACCACACTATCTTTCCTGGATTATCCTGGTTTACGAACCCAGTCAACACTGATATACTCCCATCCTAAGAGTTTGCCATTCTTCCAGGAATAGAATGCTAAAAATCAGGGCTTTCAGCTAGGTGCCGCCCAAAGCAAAGCTCCTCTTGATGCTGACGTCATTATGTCTTGCATGCTGACCCTTGATTTTGAAATGGTTTAGAACTTTAGTCCATGTAGACTGTATTGGTGGGCTTGCAAATTTCCACAAATTCATGTATATTCTGTGTGAATTGGGGCAGCAGTATACATACATATATACAGTGGAACCCCAGTGTTTGAACTTAATTGGTTCCTAGGTGGTGTTCAAACTGCAAAAAGTTCGATGTCCTAAACAGCATTTCTCAGACTTTAATTATCAGTCTCACACAGTGGAGGATGTTGAACTGACTCTTTCAAAAGTCTCTGAGACTTAGGGCAGTGTGAAAGGTCACTTCCAAGCACTTTTGAAACTGCTTTTATGTAAAGTTTTTTTTACAGCTGAATTTTTAACAAATGACCACATTCGGACTCCAGAAAAACTTCAAAGACAGGGTGGTGTTCAAGAAAGATTAACCCTGTTCTGCTATATATAGCATAGGGGGATTACCAACAGACCCCTGGCAGTCTTCAAGCTGGCACTGGACAAGCACCTAAAGTCAGTTCCTGATCAGCCGGGCTGTGGCTCGTACGTTGGTTTGCGTGCAGCCAGCAGCAACAGCCTGGTTGATCAGGCGCTGATCCACCAGGAGGCCTGGTCACAGACCGGGCCGCGGGGGCGTTGACCCCCGAAACTCTCTCCAGGTAAACTCCAGGTCAATTTGAATTTATTAAATATTGCTTCAAATCAACAATATGTACATTTTTCATATATTCAGATTTATTTCTGCTGATTTTTGGCAAAAGCAAATTTTAATTCTGCTAATTTGGCAAACAGCACCCTTGCCATATGAGACAAACTCGGTGATTTGGCTTAGTCAGCACTGTATATATTATTTATTTATTTTATTTATATTTTTATCCATAGAATTCATAGTTTGGAGATAAGGAGGTGCAGGATTACAAAGTATTATTGAGAGGGCTGAATAGGGGTTAGGGTGGTTTGAACATTGAGATGATGGAACAAAATAGGATGACTAGAAGGGTGTATAAATCTGTAGTGGAGGAAAGGTAGGGTAGGAGTCATCCTAGGGAAGGATGGAGGGAGGCACTAAAGGAGGTTTTGTATGTGAACGGCTTAGACATCCATTAAGTGTGTGTAAGCATGTTAGGAATGATTGGAGGCACTGTACTCCCATCTCCAGGACTCTAGTCTGGGTAACTGGTTTCCCAGAATCCCTTCATAAATGTTTCTTTGCTAATGCTGCAACAGCATGTCAAGTCATTAAAACCACTTGCCTCACTCCTATCTAATATGCTCACACATGCTTGCTGGATGTCTAAATCCCTCACACACAAAACCTCCTTTACCCCCTTCCTCCAACCTTTCCTAGGATGACCCCTACTCTGCCTTCCCTCCACAGATTTTTATGCTCTCCAAGTCATCCTATTTTGTTCCATCATCTCTAAATGTCCAAATCACCTCAACAGATCCTCATCAGCCCTCTAGATAATACTTTTAGCAATCCCGCACTTCCTCCTAATCTTCAATCTATGAATTATCTGCATAATATTTACACCACACATTGCCCTCACACATCATCTCCACTTCCTTCAGCCTTCTCCTTGTTGCAACATTTGCCACCCATGCTGCACATCCATATAAGAGCATTGGTATCACTATGCTTTCACGCATTTCTTTTTTTCCTTGTATAGATAACGTTCTTTGTCTCCACAGATGCCTCAGTGCACCACTCGCCTTTTTTCCCTCATCAGGTGTGGGTTCACCTCATCTTTCATACCTGGAGTTTACCTGGAGAGA